TTTGTGGTCAATACTGGAATTTAGTGGAAAAAGAAAAACTAGTAGGTCATTAAACAGTTAACAAAAGGAGATTTACTTAATCATAGCAGGAGGGTAATGTTCAACAAGAATATGCATTGAGGACAACCCAAGTTGATTCAAGTGAGGGAAGCTCCTTGCCTGTGAACTGTCCACGATGGTCTATGGGACAAAGTGTAACTCACAGCCCCTGCTCTGGAAGTCCTTCTTTCTGTGTAATGATGTCATGCAGAATCCTTGTTGTTGGTGTTTGTCCTTTATCCTCCAAGAGGACCAATGAGACCATGAGGGTGATGTCTTAACTTGCATGTCAGTTGGATATAAGTGAAGCAGAGCTGGACAGACTCATCAGCTTCACTGTCACCTCACAATTGGTCTTTATAGAAATGTTGAGTTCATGAGAGCTGATATGAGAAGGGAGGAGAGAAACAGACAAACAGAGAGACGGAGACAGACAAAGAGACAGATACACACACACACACACACACACACACACACACACACACACACTCAGAGGGACAGAGAGAGAGAAGGGGGTCCAGGACAGCACCTTGATTATAACCCATGGTTAGGGAGACAAGATCTGGATGATGATGCATCAAATGAGGCTGAGGATGAGTGGTCCAACAGTGTAGTAGACCTAAGCATGGGTTCCTCTCAGAGATGTTCCCAGGGTGTCCCCATTACATAAATTTCTTTTCTTGATATTTAATTTATTTATGTAAACTTTCCAGGAAGCAGACTATGATGACCCGTTTCCGAAAACTAAGCTGCCAGTCTCAAAAGTGACTACAATTGGTCAGGCTTAGCTCAGAGACAACTGATATAAACCAATAGAAAGACCCCAGTGGCTTCCCAGACCTGATCAGACCTCAGCATGACTGTGTGTGCTCCACAGGACAGAAGATCCATGACTGGGGAAGTTGCACATCAAGCACCTGCTGGGATGCTACCATGAACACCTCTGTGCGGGTGTTTTTGCTTTAAATATATATCCTTGTTTAAATAAACCTTAGGACTAGAAAGCCTAAGGCCTGTGTCTTCGTTATTTCATCATCCCTAAAAGAACTCACTGTAGATGAACAAGAAAAGCACCAGGAGGGAGCAGTGTTTCTCTCTGGCTGCCTCTTTTTCTGTCTGTCTGTCTCTCTCTCTTTCTCTCTCTGTCTCTCTGTCTGTCTCTCTTTCTCTGTCTCTATCTCTCTGTGTCTTTTTTACTCTTAAGGAGTAAAAAAAAAATGTACATCGGATGGAGGCACAGTGGAAAGTGTTCTGGATTTGGAATCAGGAAATTAGCTTTGAATCCCAGCTCTACCAGCAACTGGTTATGCGATATGGATAAATCACTTCACATCTCTGTGCTTCCTTATCTGTTAGGTTAGTTGGTTTCTTAGGTGCCTTCCTGTCTAAGTCCCCGATTTTACATTCTTATGAAATCATTGGTAATATTGGAGAGAGCAATTTCAGTTGAGAGTAGCAGTAAGGTTAGAAGTCATGTTGCAAAATACTGAGAAGTGATTGGAAGTAGAAGAAGTGGAAAAAATGAATAGAAACAGTTTTTATATTCCCTAGGAGTTTGCCAGATGCTGGTCTTATTTTTATGAATGTTTTTATTAATTAAAAAATCAGAAGCCATATCACCCTCATTTAGAGATATTTTAGAGGTTTGGTATGTTGACTTTCTCCTGGAGTCAGCCTCAGAAATCTCTCTCTGAAGAGAGTCTAGAACCACATGTGTCTTCTCTTGAAGCTGAAAGCCAGAAGAATTAGGATTTTTACTTCCGAAGCTCTTGCTAACTCCACCCATCATACAGATATAACATCAAATAATTATTCACTCCATCAATGAGAAGAATCTTATGCAAATATAAAGCTTGAGTCACTAGTTATAAAAGGCACCACATTTCCTATGCAACCATGTTTCCCATTGTCTTTGAATCTATAATAAAGCCAATCTATCAACTCTTTTTTCGTCTCTATGATAAAAGCATATAAGCCATCCTTCCATTTACCTGTAATTCCATTGTGTTTTCTGATTTCATTTATATTAGGAATATCAACATCGACATGGTTCAGTTCTTCCAAAAGTATGTGAATTTATTGGCCTTTGGACAAGGATCTTACATTTAGAGTAGCAAAAGTTAATGTTTATGGATTAGATTGATCATCGTGTACCATTTTTTTTTTTTTTGGTATCCATTGCATCCCTTTCTGCCACTATCTCATCAAAAAGGGTCTGGGCAGGCCTGAAAGTCATCTTAATTTTTCTTTTTTTTATGAATTCCCATAACCACAGAATTCATCACTAAGTGACCAGCTGTTTGGGAATGAGCTTTTCCTTTTTTAGCTAATTTTGTCCTCAGGAAGCATCCATAAGCGATTGCTTGGGACCTCTATCTGAAGCTGCTCCAGCTTAGTAGAACCTGCCAAATCTTTTGTTCCACTGGCCTAGCCTTGGAGAACATAGTTTCACTTCTCTTTCATGATTCTCCATCAGAACAGGACTTTGTAAAGCTATCCTCTTTTACATAGCTGTATGCAAAATTTTGTGTTTTCATATTTCATTAAGTTTTCCCTCAATCTCCCTTTATTGAATGTCTACCTCTTGCTCTTAGTTCTAGCCAGTCTGACCAAACAGAACAAGCCTAGTCCTTCTTCCAAGTAATAGTTCTTTAAATATTTGCCTGCTTCCCCCACCCCAGAAAGGAATGTAAGAGAACAAACAGTTTAAAATCACAACTCAGTGCTGCCCTTGATAAGTCACTGTACTCTCCGGCTTCGCCTCCTTGTTTGTCTTTACCTGTGGTTCCCCTTTGAGTCTTCCCGTGTTCACTGACCTGCTTGGACATAGAAGCTATCCTTCTATTCCTGGGTAGACCTAAGGTTTCTACTAAGTTTCCCTCCTTAGCTAGATTTTGAGACCCCTGAAGCCTGGTGTGAATATTCTATTTAATCAAGCGTTTTTGTTTTTGTTTTTAACCAGATTTGCACTCAATAGAGGCAAAGAATAGAGTATAGGGAAGAGTTCAGAAGATATTGACAATTGTCATTGACCTCATGACAGAGTCATCACCCATACCTCTTGGCATTTTCTGTGCCCAAGACCTCAGGAAGTTTCCTTCCTTCCTTCCTTCCTTCCTTCCTTCCTTCCTTCCTTCCTTC